TGAACTGTCATGCCAGTTAGAGGACTGTTTTCATCAGCATTCCTTATGATTTTTACCTGTGTCCTCCTCTTTTTTTATTACTACAACCATCTTTGCAACAGATGGACATTTTCAAATTATGATCAAAAGATGTTGATTATACCACATGAAAAGTGAATGATCACCTGACTTACTTGGTACTAATATGTGCAATAAATATTAATGTCCCCTTCAAATAATAATAAAAAAAGAAATTAAAATATAAAATAATTAAAATGTTTGTATGAGTTACTACGGGCAAAAATTTTGCATTTTCCTTTGAAAAGGCTATGCTTCAAAGTAAATACTTTTTCAGGATCCTAAAACATGCCTCTGGCAAATGGAATTCTTATGTGTGTATATATATGTGCAGTGAACACAGAGAAGCTGTAATTTTGTTTTCTTGCTATAAGCATATACAATACATAAATTATTCTTTGTCTATGTCATTATTTAAACTGAGATATTAACCTGATTTCATACTTGAAGATGAAGGTGCATGGTACCTTCATTTTTTCACAATATTTTCCCAAATCAGAAGTTACCTTCTCCCCTGGATGAAATTTTAAAATTTGAAAGCTTGATTCTTTTTTTCCTTACTCTGGCATAAATTAATTGCACTGAGGCCAGTGCAGTTACACAAGTGAAGTGAGAAAAGAACAAGGCACCATATGGTTTTAGTTCCTACTGATTGCAAGATTCCTTTGATTACACTAATATTGGCATTATGACAAAGCACTGCAATCCAAAAAGCATGCAAAAGACAAAAAAAAAAAAATCTCAGCCTTTAATATATTTCAAAGAAAACAGATAAGCCTGTTATTAGCCACTGAAACAGACTCCTTTGGTTAAACAAGTAGTTCCAACCTTCAGCTGGTTGTTGTATCTCAAGAATGAATTTTAAATGGCGTAGCTCATTAACTTACTATAATGGGCTTGAAAAATATCCCTAAACGCCTAACTGTACAACAGGTACTGGCCAATAAAATACAACAGTTCATGACTGTATTTTACACTGATTATAGCTGTATGCTGAAATGCAGCTCAGCATATATACAGTAAGTAATTTTATGATAAGTACTTATATTTCAAGATGTTCACTAAAAAGAAATGCATGTTAGATGGCTGTGTTTGGTAAACTTCCTTTATATTATTCTCAATTAAAACACTGTGTCCCGTAGGAAGCCAACTGGTTATATGAGAGCAAAGTTGCTGCAGGATGTTAGCCTCCCTCTTCAGCATGTGCCTGGGTTTTTCTGTGAGAAGGAAGAGGATGAGGAAAACATAAAAGATAGTTTCTCCCTCAGACAAGGGGTTGAGCTATAAATAACATATCTTTCTAGTTTCTTTTACATTTGACTTTCAAACGTAACTTTTGTTAGTTAAAATGTGCCATATTTTTAATACTTAAGTTAAGAACTCAGGGCCAGTTAGTACAAGAACTAGATGTCCTTGTACTCAAACCTCATTCAGACCTAATTCAGCAAGTGCTAAGAATTGCTTAGGGTACACCTACAACAGCCTGACAACACAGTAGCTTAGCACAGCAACAGAAGCCACATAAATCAAGGAAATAGTTTGGGCTTTTGTGCCCAAAGCGTGCAATTCATATGCCTGAAATAAAGGCCAAAAGATGTCTTCTGGTGTCCTGTCTGGCCTCCAGTTGCTTGGTCCAGAAGACCTCAGGTCTCCTGTAGCTCACATCATGCCCGCCAGCATTGTGTGGATGTCCCTGCTAATCTGGGGCATCTCAAATGCTGCAGGCTTTGTTTAAGCTTCTGAATTACATCCTAGATGACAACTGATTATAATGGGAGCTTAGACACCTAACTCAGGTGAATTATGTAGATTACTTCGGATTTGATACCCAGTGAACAACAGGAAAACACCAGTCTGGAAGACGCATAGGTTTTCTAGACATTCCTCTCTCTTCGGTGCAGCCTTCCAGTTTGCTTAAGATTTGGTCATTCTTGGTCAGCATCCAGGCTATTCTGAACCCCTGCCCTAGTTGCTTAATTCTCCCCATTCACTTATGCAGGAAATTAATTTGTTTTGCAAACTCTGGAATCAGATGCCTAAAGGTCAAATAAGGCAATGGTCCCCTGAATTTGATAAGATGCCTTATGTTCTGCTTTAGCTATTGTTTACATCTCTCTGTAAATATCTAAGTTCCATTTTGGCCAGTCAATCACCAGAACACACATTCCTATCAAACTAGGTCTTCTCTTCTTTGCAAGTCTCTGACAAAAATCATTACTTAAAAGCTTCTCACCATTCTATCACCCTTTTTGGGCAATTATTCTAATCCCTGTTGAATCACTGGAAAATTGCCTTAACAATAAAAATTAGCAGACATAATTTGCCATGTGTAGGTGTTAAAACTACACTTCATTCTGCTTGTTTGAAAAAGCATGGTTTGAGCCCAGAAATAGCCTGAAATGCTTGCACAATTCTCTATATACTGTGTGTTCCAAAGAGATTACCTTTTCTCTCCTTTTTGATCTCCTTTCCTAAACTTTATCTAGGCCACCAGAGGCACAGTCCCTCTCTGTCTAGCTGGGGTACAGTAGAAGTTGTGGCTGAAAACTTGGTTGCAGTGTAGGAGACGGAGCAATACAAAACTCTACAACTAGCGTTTGTAGCATGCTAACTCCCAGGGGTGCTAAATCTGTATGGGCATGCTTGGGGCAGGCCCCACTGGCAAGACTGATCAGCTTGGGCTCAGCATTGTACTGACACGATGGTTCTGCTTCTAGTCTGGGAAGTAATCTATCTGCTGCTACCTAAAGGGTCTTTGCACCACACTGACGATAGATGATAATATATGTATGATAGATACAAAGATGACCTAAGACATGTCGTAAAGATAGCAGTTGCTTCAACTTTTTTGCAACTCATAAAATATGTTAAAAGCAATTCACCCAGAGTATGATAATATGCAATGTATTACAGCTTTTGTAAAGCGGTTGACTTAATACCCCAAGACATTCTCATAGAAAATGCTACACACAATTAACAGAGTGTATGCTAAATGGATTAAGAATTCAGGCACTGGCAGATTTCAAAACACAATTATTGAAGAATAATCATTGAATTTCTAGTGTAATTCCACAGTGAACAGTAATAGACTAAAAGCAATCCAATAATTTTCATCAAAACCAGAAGTAGACAGCTAAGGAACTCTGTACATGAACCAAAATGGCAAAGTAGTAAAGACTGATGATGACAACATATTCATACAGAAATCCGGACAGCATGGGAACTTAAGCCATTCAAACCAACAGTGCTTCGTCATAGCCACACGCAAAATTATACACTAAGGAAAAAAGAGACATGCCACACAGATCAGGATGGGACACTGTATCCTGGAAAGCAAGGACTCCAGGAAGGATTTAGAGCTGGTGTTGGACAAACAAGATGAATACCATTTTATAGCCCCGTGCAAGGAAATAAATGGCTAATGAAAGCCTTTCATAAATAATGCTGGGAGTAGTAAGTGTAAGAAAGCAAGACTATCTCTGCAGATAGCAGAGTTGAAACACTGCATATAGTTACAGTGTCTACGGTCCTAAAGGAATTCTCAGAAGTTGAAGAGGTGAGGAGAAGAGCTGTCAAAATTACTTAAGACCTGAAGAAAATGTTATCATGGAGAAATTCAAGGTGCTCAGTCTGTTTAGCATCTGATCAGTCACTTGAGTGATATATATATACATGTCTTAATGGGGAGAACATATCAGGCACAAAAAGACTCTTTAATCTAGACAAAGGCTATAAAAGGAAACAATGGCCAGACCCCAAAACCAGATAAATACAGATTAAAAATTAGGCAAAAAAAAATGTCAACAGTGCAGGTGATTAATCATGAGAACAAAGTATCCAGCAAATGATGGATCCTCTGCCTCTAGATTCCGTTCAATCAAGACTGGAATAGCTGCTTCATACAAACAAAAATGGTGATACCCATGAGTTCACACTAGGTAATATAAACTGTACATATTATTGAAAACCAGCAGATCAGAGGTCCAGTCCTTTAGGAATGGGCAACTTCTCTCACAGTGTGCAGATAACATAGCACAGGCATCGTTTTTTTAAAAGACACAATAATGGTTTCACTGACTGTGTGACAAGCATACTGTCGAGATTTAATCCCTACTATTCCCCAAGTTCAGTTTTTAATTAAGAAGACCAGAACACAATGAAAGTCTTTAAATCATAATCTTGCAAAGACACTAACCAAGTTCTTGGTGTTTATTCATATGTTCTACTGCATACATTGTGTGCTAAGGCACTACTTAAATTACAAAACTAACAAGAGAGAGATGTGCAGACCATGTCTGAACTCATAGACAGAATCAATACCGAGTAGAAGCTGAATCAGCCTGATCCATGCAAGCTCCCTTCCCCTCTTTACCAACCATCCAGACCACTTGAAAGCTGAGCATGCTCCATTTCTCATTGCTTGGTCACCTGTATGTGTCACAGCTTTTCTTGTCTCCTGAAAAGTGGAACTCCCCTAGCAATTGGTCTGTGGACCACTGTGGACCACCTACTTTTCTCAGTTACTTTCTCTCCTCGGTGGCAGTTGACGAATAAGATACAGAGGCAACAGGTACTAGGAATTATAGGATATTTGCAGGCTGACATCTTGAGCCTGAGGTCTGCACCATGTAGTTATGCTTATAGGACACTACTAAAAGTGGTAGCCTAACTGGGGGCACCAGTAGAAACAGCCCGATTTTTGGAAGATTGGCAGCGCTTCCAGGATTGAGCTGGACTACTGCTGAAGTGCCCTGCGTGCATTATGAGTCTTCAGAAAGATTTTAAGATAAACCCTAATTCTCAGTGCAGTCACTCCTGAAGAGCTATCTCTCCAATTTTGGATGGGAATGGTGTGCCCATCTCTGGATAGTGTGCAAGAAGAAAATATTCAGTCCAAGATTTCCAAGGAGTGTGGGAAAGAAGAAAAGAAGCTATCTGCTCACCTGAAATTTTTATTTGAGCTACTTCTCCATCTCCTCCTTCACTGTGTGCTCGGACCTCAACAACGTATTCACCATCACTGGGGACTGGGACCTCTATTGTGTGCTTTCCAGTTGAAAACAACTTGCCTTCATGTTGTCCATCTGGTCTATACAGTACCTAGGAAAGTCATAGTAAATATAGTTATTGAAATGCTACATTTCCATGAAAACACAGTTACTTATATACAGTGTATATTAAAAAGTACTAGGTTTTAATTTATATATGAAGCCTATATATATAAAAACTTAGTGGCAGATACTACTTTTTCCATTTTTATGTAGGGTGAATCTAGACAGGTTGTTTCCTCATTGTTTTTCTGTTATAAAATTATGCCACTGTCTTGGTTTTGGCTGGGATGGAGTTAATTTTCTTCCTAGTAGCTGGTATAGTGCTGTGTTTTGGATTTAGGATGAGAATAATGTTGATAACACACTGATGTTTTAGTTGTTGCTAAGTACTGCTTATGCTAGGCAAGGACTTTTCAGCTTCCCATGCTCTGCCAGGTGCACAAGAAACTGGGAGGGGGCACAGCCAGGACAGCCGACCCAAACTGACCAAAGGGGTATTCTATACCACATGTCATGCTCAGTATATAAGCTGTGGGGAGTTGGCTGGGGGGCAGCGATCGCTGCTCAGGAACTGGCTGGGTATTGGTCAGCGGGTGGTGAGCAATTGTATTGTGCCCCACTTGCTTTGTATATTATTATTATTATTATAGTGTTATCACTACAACTACTACTATTTTACTTTATTTTGTTTTAATTATTAAACTGTTCTTATCTCAACCCAGGAGTTTTTCCCACTCTTACTGTTCCGATTCTCTCCCCCATCACATTGGGGTAGGGGGAGTGAGCGAGCATCTGCATGGTGCTTAGTTGCTGGCTGGGGTTAAAGCATGACAGCCACCTTTTGAAAAATAATTTCAGCCTCTACATTCAAAATAAGGAAATGATGGAAGATAATAATGCAGAGTGGCAAAGAGCATCAAATAAAAATCTCAGAACTCAGCTGGGTCTTCTGACATAAGATTTATTACCATTTTCATAAATTAAACAATTATTAATTTTATTATTAACTCTCAGTGCTGTTAAACTATTGCAAATTCGACAGTATATGTCTTGTGGGACCTTTAGAAAAGATCTCCACTCTTTCTGGAATCATCTCTATGAAACATTTTCAGCAATTCCCAGGAAGCAGTTCAACTCCTCAAGCAAAATTTGTACATGTAGAACATGATACTAATTTTCTTACTGCTAAGCAAGCAGCAAAGTTAAACAGGAATTAATTTTTGAAGCTTTCTATATGCCCTATAGTTAGTATATACACTTGCTCTAGTTATACAGTAATTGCATCTAACGAGGTTAAGTGTCCCTTCCCTTCCCCTACCTTCCCAGACTTTAAAGAACTCATGTTCCAGGAACTGTAGCTTCTATGGAGATGGGAAAGGAAAGCTGGAACAGTCCATACTGGTATAAGGAAAAACTATTAAAGTGTACATTTTTTAAAGCATTATTTTTGGCCAATACACAATAAATGTAATCATATGGGAAATCAGGTTACTGCAGTCACTGATCTAAAGTTTCCCATAAAACGGCTCACTGCCCAAATGCATTTCAGTGCCCCAATGTTTTCTCGTCATATTGACTAAGCCCACTGCCTTTGCCCTAAGCCTACTGGATGTCTGTGATCTCTGAGCATGATACCTTCATCTTTAACACGCAACTACATTTAAGTCTAAGTAGGTACCAAAATTCAACACTGTCCATAAAATATACCTCATGTAGCATACACAAAGATAAAAAATATTTTCGTAGATCATACTTTGTATCCTTCAACTGCAGACTCATTTGACATTGCCTTCACATGATCCCAGGTGATGATGTACCTTGAACCAGATCTTACAGAACTGATAATTCTTGGACGTTGGCTTGGAGCTGAAAAGCAACATATGTACCGTGCACATAAATGAGATTTCATAAACATTCAATGTCATTTTTATTAAGACATGTAAAAACGTAAAAAAGGAACTTATGGCTGATCTTTATATGATCAAAGGATGGTCTCCTTCCTACAATGAACTGCTACAGCTCCAGCCAGGCAATTTTGTATGGCTTGTGCAGTGGCTGCTTTGTGGGTTTGCCTTTCTGTGTTGCCAGAATGGAAGTGGCCAATATTACCCTTCATGGTTGCTTCATTACCCACACATGGTTGCTGACCATGTGTGTTTGCTGGCATGCAACTATAACTATGTTCAGAACCTCCCAGAAATGTGGCTTGTCATATTTATTCACTGAGATTAAATATTTAATTAACCATTTAAAGGCACTTCTACAGCATTTAACTCAGTAGAAATCAAAGTACCCCCCTCCAGAAACCATTAATTATATTTCACACAAAAAGCTTATAAAAATGGAACCATCTTATTCAACACAAATGAACCCTGCAGTTCCAAGTTCCACAATACACTATTTACTGACAGAAGTCCTCAAATTAGTTCTATATATCTTTAGCCCATGTAAGTGTGTTTTAAATATACAAGATGTGTTTCTTAACTGAACATTTCTCAGCATATGTTAGTATTAGGTATCATCGTTAAGTCAGGAGCTATATTCAGAAACCTATTATGGCATGTCAATTCAAGGGTGTGATTCAGATCACCTGCTTTTCAAGGCTGCCTGATCCTGGTTCCCTCTACTGTTAATGAAAAAGGCAACTGGTCACATTTTAATAGTCAGAATATAATACTTATTGCTATTGATTAAACAGAAAGCCATGGTATAGCTGCCTAAGTAACAGCTGATCTGAATTGTTCATCACTTGGGATATCACGTCCAGCTCTGGGCCCCCCAGTACAAGAAAGACACTGGTAATCTGGAATGAGTTCAGCAAAGGGCCACCAACCTGGTGGGGAGCTGGAGCACTTGCCCTGTCAAGGGAGGGTGAGACATCTGGGCTTGTTCACCCTGGAGAAGAGACTGCTTTGGAGGGGGCCCAAGAGCCACCTGTCTGTTCTTATAGGGAGGTTATTAAGGTGGAGCCAGGCTCTTCAAAATGGTGCACAGCAGGAGGATGAGTGACAAAAGGCACAAACTTAATTAAAAGAGGCCCAGACTAGATGCTAGGAAACAGGGAGTGGACCAGGTTTCTCGGGGAGGGAGGTCGTGCAGTCTCTATCCCTGGAGGTTTTCAAGACCCAGCTGGATCAAGACTCTGAGCAACCCAGTCTCAGCTTGTAGCTAACCCTGCTTTGAGCAGAAGGTTGGACCTTACAAGTCCCTTCCAGCCTGAATTATTCTGTGAGCCTATAATCTGTGTCTCCTTACTATCTTTCGTAAGATATCTAAATTGTACATGGCAACAAAAGTGAGGAAGGAGAGCCTTGGTATAACTTTTCAGACCAAGAGCCAATACAACATAAAGGGAGACCATTGGGTATATGAATGAGAAGCCAAGTTTGAAGACATGATGGACATGATACAACACACAATAATGAAGCATGTGACATTATACATAACCTAATGCTCCATTTACTTACGTGCTTTCCTGGTAATAATATCGATGGTTCTACTGGGAGGTCCATAGCCTGCACTATTGAAGGCAGAAACATCTACATGGTAGCGAGTATTAGGCTTCAGGTTTTCCAGTTTGGTTGAATATTCTTGATTGCTCACTTGTACCCGCTGTGCAGCTGCTTCTTTATCATGAGAAGCCCAGTAACGAATCTGTAAGCAACAAATTGAATGATTACATTTAGCATATTTACTCAAAAAGAAAGTTTATAAAAAATTATATATGCTGGGTATTTCTATACTACATACTCTGGGTAGTAAGCGAGCTCAAAGAAATCTAACAGCAATAGCATGGAATTCCTTCTACAGGCTGTGATTTTAACCAAGTTGTACATAGACATAAAGAAACAGAAAAAAATTCAGATTTTATTATGAAACCTTTTCTCACAGTAGTTTAACTTCTTCTCAGCTAAGTCATTAGAAGTCTGGGAGATGGATAATGCCTTCAGAGAACATGACTATTTTCTTCTTGCTGTTTTGTTTGAGCATTTTACTCTGAACTTTGATATTGTCTTCCTACACTACAGTGTAGACTAAACTCTGCTAATGTTTTTGCAATATTTTTTTTAAAAGTCTTACAAATTTAATCATTTTGTACTTCTATCTAGGGAATGAGAAGTATTCATTCATGTTATCTGTATGTGCAGGTTTAGATACATGTACTTAACCATTTTCTAAAGTTATTTGGCTAAATTCAATCAGATTTCATGGTACAATATGAAATTTGTCAAAGTAGATGAGAAAGAACCTGAAAAAGCTTGAACTATGGGAAAAGCATCAATGTAAGCTTGTAACATCTTAAAATCCAAAGTCAATTAACTGTATATAGAAATTCTGTGAGGCTTTTTTTCCAAGAAATTGCTCCATTCTACTTTAATTCATTACACATTACAAAGCACTAGTTTAAAAGAGAGTAATTCCTATGGAGTGATGCCATTCCATAGGTGTGTCACATACACAGAGTCCTATTCTGCATGGCCTTCTGAGATGCAAATGAGAGTAAAACACTGTCAGTCTCTGGGTTTTGCCTGCTTTATAACCATTTGCATAAGAATAAATTACTGCAGTAACCTGAAAGAGTGGAAAGCCATGCCCATTACATTTTGGTTTTAAGTGTTTTTACTCTCAGCGTTTCTGCTCAGCTTCTGCCTGTCTTCATAATGATTTTTGGGTATGCTACAGGAAGACCTTTTAAAATCTTTTTTAGCAAGAGGTTAATGTTCTTGGTAATTTCAGGCTCTAGGAAAAATCTTGCTTTGTAAGATTCGACCGGTGACATCAGGTATCCTGTTATTTTATCTTTTAAATAGCAACCACTTTAATCTTCTGTTCTGCTGACATTAGTTTTCCTTGGAAATTTCATTTAAGGAATAGGTTAGAAGAGCAGATAGCTTGTCAAGGTGTTAATATCACAGTTCTCTTTACAAATTATGGGCACAACCCTCACTTGGCAAGGCCTTATTTTCTCCTGTTCATGTTTATATTAAAATGCTTAATAAAAATATTTGTTTTACATCAGACCATGTACTGTGGCTGAATGAGGAGAGGTGCAGCAGAGGATTTCTCTTCACCTACTTCAAATGTCTTTGGACATGGTAACAGTCAATATCACTACACAGAGGTTACTCTAATTCAAATACTAAAGTCTCTTGTCAGAGTTTTTGCCTCAGTCTTGCCCACCAGTGTCAGAGGTTATTAATACTCTGGTGATTATAAATGTGACAATATCATAATGGCTTTTCTCACTCTTTAAGAGAGAATCATATTGTATCTGCAGGCCAAACTGGCTCCCATTTTTAAATACAGCATGCATACTTGCCTTTCAGCAGGCACCAATGGGTAATTTTTAGTTATATAAATGTATGTCCTGCACAGTGTTTTAGAAATTTAATCCACTAGCATCCTAAACATCAGTTTACTGTAACTTAGGCACTCACACTCATGAAATTCCCACTTATCAAGGCGGCTATTTTACTGAGTCAACAGCCTTTGCCTCCAAATGAGTGTGGAATGTGCACCCAATCCATCCTGCAGGCTTCTCCAGCAAGGTGGTAACCTCCACTTGATGAATGGTTTCAAACTGGTGTGGATCTGAAACCATCACAGTCATTTCAGCTGAAGCTCTGATTATGATCTTCAAGTCAGATTTTTTAAAAATATGATTATAATTAACAAACTGTCGTAGATAAGCTGCTGTTGTTCAATGCAACCAGCTGTATACCATAAGCTGTTAACTATGAGTGGCTGACTCAAGTGTGAGAGGGCGTGTACATCAGGAGCCAGAGGACGTCATCTCTATCTCTGTCCCTAAGTTCAAACAAGCTTCTAGCCTGCAGCAAAGGGATCTCTGTGAAGTTCTAGGTGGCCAAAAGCTTCTTAGCTATGACAGGAGCAATGGTAGCTTTGTTGTTGATATTAACTGGCCATTGAAGACTAATTAATTCATTTTTAGTATGTTCTATTATGTTAATTAAGTATCTGCTTTACCCAAAGATGGCAAACATACTTTATGGGAAACTTTTGTTAATTATGGGGCATACGCTAGAAGCCTTTGAATACCTGTGACTTGCAAAACTTTCTACAATCCTACTAGTTCATTTGCACTACAGTGGTGCTAAGGGCATAATATAACAAGTAATATACAGCATCAAACAAGACAAGCGAGAACAATAAATGAAAATGTAAATTACTTCACTGAGAGCATATTACATTTCAGGCAGAAGCAATACAATTTAAAAATTAAATTAAATTAAAATCCCAAATACTATTGTTCTTGGCAGCAATGTTGTGGACTTAACTAATCCTATAGTGTGTAAGCTGTGTGTCACACACTCAGAATGTTCTTCTTTGCCTTTTCATTTAATAGTCATATCTACATATTTGGATCATTGTAACTACTCTTGGAAAAGGTTTTAAATTACTCCCTTGAGAGCTAAGAAAAAGTACTGTCTGCTTTACACTATTCCTACATTTCTCTTCTCACTTATTATTTAAATAGTTTAGAAGTCTCTTGAAAGAACTTGGAAATTTCTTTCACTCTCTTGCCTCTGTGGAAGTGATACTAGAATTAACTGCCCCATTGCTTCAAGACACCACATTTTCCCACTTTGCTCAGTGGGCCCTCTCTCTTTTTATTAAAGAGCTTGGATAATAATCCCCGACAGCCTGCTTTTTCCTGGTGCTCTGCATTTACCTTGTTAGGGTAACCCATAGGTAATGAACCCCCACGGGACACAGGAGGGTATTTCACTCCAGCTCTAGAGTTTGTTGTAGGAGATAAGCCAGCAGTGATCTGTGGGAAGGGAATGCCTTAGCCATCATGAGTCAGTGCAGCCCTCCGTGCTGAAATCAGGGAAAAACACTCTCTTTCATGGTCCTCTCCTCTATTCAAATTTTAATATATTGAAATACATCAGAAGTTGTTACTGTAAGTATCATGAAACAACAGCTCTCATATTCATGAAAGTTTTACATAGGAGAGACATAAAAGAGATACTTTACTCATAGACAGAAAGAATGCTAATAGCATATTTCAGTAAACAAGGGACAATCGTGGCGAGTAGTGATAAATTTGCTTAATAAAATAAACATATATCTATTGCATAGAAGCAGCAGGAAATACAGATAGTGTCTTTGGTATTGCATGCACTGAAGAGCTGTGGCTTTTAGCAGGCTATTGCAAGAACTCATAAATCTTAAATTCTCTATATGGATGGAGATAGCTTTCATACTTTATCTCTTCTTTAAGTGTCAGCTGAGAATACTCCTCTGTAATGGCAAAATGCATCAGCTCACACTCATCGCCATGAGGGCAGTCATCCTGACAGTATGCATTAGTGTCAAGAAAGTCTGTCTCCTCCTGGTGTGAAAAGCATTGTGTCACAGGTGAAATACCTTCAGGTACTTTGCTCAGGGTACTCCTATCTCTCAAACTCTAGCATTTAAAAGGTCAATTATGCAATTTTTAGGTAATAATAAAGACCAAAATGAAACTGAGATGGTGCTCTGGTGAATGAGGGATTTTGCTAACTGGTGTCACAGCTGAGCAGAAATTAAAGAAATAAATATTGGAGTATTTCCTGATGCCTATAGAGGTAGAGCCTTCCAGACGTATTCATTGGAATTTTACAATGTAGTTGGAGTACTTCTTCCCCCACAACTTGTATTGTAACTTCACAAAAGCTATCTACAGCCTTGACCTTCCAGAAGAGCCCTCTCTATTTTTGTCCTCTCCCATGGCTCCTTCTGGACTGATGGGAGATGCGATCTTCAGGAGCACAAGACTTTCTTTTTGCCCTCAGTGTAGAAGCACAGGCTTGCCCTTTGCTGCTTTCCCCACTACTACAATGAGGCTGGCGATTGCTCGAGAGAAAAAGATCTCAGAATTAACACCTTACGGAGCTCTGTGGGGCAGTAATTCATGCCTATCAGTCTATTCATTGTGTAGCCAGATGAGAACTTTTTTCCACAGTCCTGATAACTAGTTTACTTTAGAAAAAGAGAAAAAAAAGAGAAGAAATTAATTTTAATACCACTGCTCACTTTACATATTCAAGCCACCCAGTCCATACTGGATTTGTGGAAGTGTAGTACTTCCCTAGGAATGAGTGGATGAAGTTACACTCCAGCTATCAAAATAAGGCCACACCCTGAACCTCTATATTCTGTGTAACAGAGCTCTCCACCCATTCCCAGGGTATCCCACCTTTCTTCAGAACAGCAGTTATTTTCTTTTCAGCCCAAAGATCCTCCACACTTTTTTCCAACTTTTTTCCTTTTTTCTATTGACTGTTCCGTGCATCCTGTTGTTTACTGCTGAATCCTCTCCCCTCCCTTCTTTCCCTCACATCCCCCGACAGCAATTCAGATAGCTTTATGTAAAATAAAATAGATTTTAAAAAATGGCCAAAAATGGGTTGCCTATGGGAATGTTCTCCTAGCATGTTCTTTCCCTACTCACCCCTCCAGCCTTCCTACTCCCTTCCCCATTACAGCTCTCAGCATCCATTGTCACGCTTTATCGCCACTGCGATCCCAACCTCCCCAGTGCTCTCCTTGTTGCTGCTCTCTCCACGCCCCCACAAGTCCCCCGGTGTGTGTCTGATGAGTGTCTGTTCTGGTTATTCAGGGTGCACAGGCTTCGTGTCCAGTTTCTGTGCAGACTGTCCAGCTTGGGAGTGCAACACTGCTATATGGCTGGCTGGCTTGAGCTCACAGATCTGGGTACTCCACCCAGTTCTCAGTTGCAACCATGAGTTTGTACTATTCTAGTTACACAGTCCCTATGAAACACCAAAACAGCTGGCTGATTTGGTAAATTAGGAGTTACCGTTGATGTCAGTGTCTTAATTTCAAACCCCAGTGTCCTCTGCTTGTAATTTTAAAACTTTATGTGTGTACTGTGTAGAATCCAGCTTTATATGGGAGATTATGCTAGTTCCTATTGAGATCTTCACTATGATCTTGTTACAGTATCCCGAAAGTATTACATAAATCTCATGGAGACAGAAACAGAGATCAGGAAATATAGAAACAAGTACTACTAATTAGAAGAACATTTATTCATAGATTTCCATCATAAAAATACATTCTGTGAGGTCACTCCACATTTGTATGTGCTCATTTTGGAATACAGAGGCTACCATGAAGCAGCCGACAAATTAAATCACAAAGCAAGTCACTAACAAACTAAGGCCCAAATCCCTATTTTGGAGTGCAGCCAAAGTAAGCTGGCTGTATATTGCAAAGTTTGTCAGCATCCACTGTGTGTGGATGATGTTAAGATTTCCCTGCTGGAGTGTTACGTGGCCATTTCTGGTTGCACCCACCCTGTGGCTGTTGTCATCTTTGTACAAGGACAAGAACAATTTTTACTGGTAGTACCACTTAGTATTGGACCAGATGAACATACCTTAAAGCTCTTATTCATGTGGAGAATAGAAACCTTGAAGAAAACATTGTTGTCTTGCACAATAGCACTGTCTCTGTTATACTGGATTCTGGGCATTTGTCACCTGGTCCCACTTACTATAGGATTTGTGGGTGAATTATATTAATAACTGCTGAGAATTTAAATGGGCCAAGAGTTAGTTACAATTTTGTGTCTGTGTTGACAATCACACCCCAAACTTAACCTCATTATGTTTTGATAGGGTAGAGATAGGCATTCAATTATGTAACATAAAAAGACAAGATTCTTTTATGAAATAATGATGCCTTTTTTCAGTTGAATAGTGAGCCACATGCATTTGTTAATGTGTTTTAGTAATGAGGTACATAGCACCAAAAATAGTATGTTTCTCGGGATGTGAAATCTGTACAGCAAACTACCTTTAGAGAGAAATGAACCCTACGAGATAGAATCCTAAAGTAGGAATTATCCTTGCATTTAACTACTGAAATTAAATGAATGAGAAGATACACAGTGTCACCTCTAAACTCACCTGATATCCTTCCACAGATTTATCAGAAACATGGTGCCAAGAAACAGACATTTCAGAAGATGACAAAACTTTTACGCTCACATCTGTAGGTATTTCAGTTGGAGCTGGAAGATGAAACACAAGTTAAACATCCAATCTCATCCAGTGATATTGTTATACTTAGAACAGAATCACAGAATCATGGAATGCTTTGGGTTGGAAGGGACCTTTAGAGGTCATCTAGCCCAACGCCCCTGCAGTGAGCAGGGACAGCTTTAACTAGATCAGGTTGCTCAGAGCCCCATCCAACCTGACCTGGAATGTTTCTAGGGATATATAAACTTGGACAATGAAATAATCCAAGAGCACCCTTCTATTAGGTATACATCACAAAGTTGATTTTGTTTGTGTTCTTAGTTCTGGACACTAGCCAATGCAGAATACAGACCATTATAATGTGGTATGCTTTTATTTAGGGCTTAGAATATTAAGTTCTAGTTTAATTATAAGAAGCTGTTAATTTCACTGTCGCTTGCATTTCAAGTGAGGTAAGGAATTTAAAAAAAGCATAAACTTAGCAATGTCTGTAAAAGATAAAGTTTTCACAGCTAAGAACAGTTCTCTGTCGCGAATCTTTTGAAACAAGTTGCAACAGACAGGCATGGCAGCCTGAGCTGAGGAAAGCTTTCATATACTTAATCTTCCAACTGGGCATCCAGTCAACTATGCATCAAAACAGCCACTGTTAAGAAAAAAATCAGTTATATCTTTCATGAAAAGTATCCTAGGTAACAAAATAATCTTATATGCAAAGTTACCTTTTGTAATTGTCTTTCAGTGGCTGTTAATAATGCAAATGTATAATTAAAAAATGATACATTATTGCAAAATTGTTTTCACAATGACAGGAATTTAGATAAGCAAGCGGCCTGTGCACTCATTACTAGCAATCATTACTCACTACTAGCAATGGCAGGTATGACTAGTAGTTGTCAGAATTGGAACTTGGCTTAAAACATGTGGGAACACAGAAATTCCCCAGTCACTACAGTGAATAAAGATGCCCACAGTTATAACTAGACACACATAGATATATTACAAAATACACAACTTAGTGGAAATGCTGTCATTATATTTATGTATGTATGAAATATTGTATGACCATGTTGCTTTAAAATCCCACTAATACCTTTGAGAAGTTGTGTTGTCTGACGGTAGCAATATCACTTGCTGATTCAGAGGTACAGAAGTACAGGTGGAATAGACATGATCATCTAATCTATTCCCAAATCACTGTCAGACTCTTCTCCATGGTATCAATTATAAAATTTGCCAAAATGTTTCATATTGAAAAGGTCCAACTGCCAGGGATTTTGCTGATACAATACTCTAAACAATATTTCATCTGCTTATGCTTGTTTATGAGCTCTAAATAATTTATACCCCTATTTGGCATTTATGTTCTATAAATATTTTGCAGTCTCTCTTGAGCCAGAAAGATGACATCAGCTGCTTTTCTCCAGACTTCTAATTCAGTAATTCTACCAATAAAAGAAGCAATCATGTGGGTCTCACAATACGTTCTCTTCACTGAAAACATAGTGGTCATCACACAATTATTTTCTAAGCATAACCATACAAAGTTAGGGCTGGGAGCCAGTAAGCATGCTACAAGGTATCAAGGTGAATTTGTACAAGTCCTGATGCCAGCAGAAAACTGCAGAATGTTCTTTGGAATAGCTTTCATTACACCTATTCAAAAAATTCCTTCTAACCCACCCTGAAGTTCTTGAATTTGATATAGTCAGTAGTCAGGGTCATAGCTCTGCATAGGAGCTGTGAGTACTACTGGTAAGGGTTGGAGCACCGTGAATCTGACTGTTTTGGTGACTCTTGTGCCTGAAATCAAAGAAAAGAAGTAGGTTCACTGAGCTTCTATTCCTTTTGCTGCCTGGATCTGGCATCATTTAACCACAAGTGTTTTTATCAAGTGCCTGGACTTCGCTAAAGTCGGTGTTAGAACATCAGCAGCCATTGAAGTGACTTCTTTATCTGGAAGCTGACACTACTCCACATTCGCTTTTCTTCTGTCTTTTGGAGCTACTGGGCTCTACCATGCCTCTGAACTTAGAGAGCTATACAAACACACTCCCATCCCTGACATGTATAATCCTAACATAAACACATGGGAGCTTATCAGTCAGCTGTTGATAACGTCTCTGAGAAAGGATGGATACTGAAATGTTATTTGGCAGATATGGCTTTTATTACACCATAGCTATTTACTAACTCATTTATATAACTGCAAAAACAACCATTCTGTTGCCGTAGCAGCTGTTGAAGATGATAACCTAAGGTACGCTTTTCTGAGAAAAAGGATTAGTATCAACCTATTCAGATAGCTAAGTGTTGCTAGCTTGAATCCTGAATTATCGTAAGAAAAAAAAGGACTATTTTATCTTTCCTCTGTGTGTGGGCGATTTGTGTGCGAAGTCCCCATTAGTAGTGCTAATGGGAATCCTGAACATAAATTTCCCAGAAAGTACACAGAGTAAAGAACAGAGTCGGAAGTGTGAGAATGTGGCCTTGTTATCATATCCCTCCTCTTGGCCCTTTGGTCTGGATCTGTTGACTTTGTGACGGAGATTCTGCTCTATGGAAAGAAAAATATGAGCAATTCTTCCTTGGGTTTCTGGCAGAAATTAATAAACCTTTTTTTTTTTTTTTTTTAAACAGACTTGAGGGATTATGTGGCAATTAGGATGTTGTATATATTTCTTCTGATTTAAGGTAAACCTTCTTCTAGTGCTTTCTCTCTCGTGCTAAGTTTGGAAATGGCACTTAAACCTGAATCCTAAATATCACAGCATGCGAAATAATTCCAGCAAGAATTAAGAAAAAGATTTTAGTGAAATGTCAAAGAGGTTTTCATTAAATTATTCACTTGATAGCTCTAACACCGAAACCAGAATAAAGAATGTGTCAGGGATAATTTATGTTATACTCTAAACATGCTTGAAATATAACTAGATACAAATGAACTGTCATTCCTTCACAAGTTTTGGGCTAAATTCTGATACTGATCTACTAAAATAATAGGCTTTAGTGTGGTCTGTTAAGAAGAAAAACCCCATACATATGTCAAATACATGTATTAAGATCACAGAAACATTGCTGGATAATGATGTAAATGTTTTAGGTAACAAATATGAAGATCAGAATTTTTTTTTTTTTTTTAAATTCTTAAATCTTTTAACAAGCTGTGTAAAAAATCTTGAATGCTTCTGTGTATTGCTCATTCAGACACCAAGCACAGCCAAGTGCTCTGCATTGCACAGAAAACAGAGTCTGAATTTTTTTATTCAGAACAACTGCAAGTGTTTTCTGTGAGCATTATACACCCTCCTTGCTGAAGATGTATGTTCCTATAGTGATCAGTGTCAAGGACCAGGTTCTCTCTACTGAACCTGGTAGTGCTGGTCTGGGCCCTCAGTGTAAAACTTATCTGGAACCTTTACTCACCATCTTGTGCTGAATAAATGACAGCAGTGAGACTGAACGGTCCATCCCCTTTGTTGTTAAAAGCTTTCACTTTTACTTGATACTGGGTTGAAGGTGGCATTGATTCATCCTTGTGGACATACCGGCCAATTTCAGGATTAGTAACTGTAACTCTTCTCCATTCTTTCTCACCAAATGGCTTGAAAGCCACTATATAACCAAAGTTATTGCCATAGTGGTATTCTCTTGATAAAGGCTAAAGAGGTAAAATATAAAACGTTACTCTTGGTAACCAACTAAACAAATGGTTCTCTCATGAAATATAAAAAATAAAGAAAGCATCGATATGCACATTGTAAAAACACTGAAGCTCCATTTTCTCCTGGTTTGCTTCTACAGTTTGCACCCCCCCCCTTCAAAAATACACCATCATCCTTTAAAAATACACCATCTTCATTATGCAGATCTGCAGTACTAGGATATCTGCTACTTAAACATTTTAAGATCTTGTTGCTCATCCAAACTCAGTGCATGACACATCACGCTATCTCCTGCAGAAAGAAAACAAGAATGATTGTGTACTAAAACCGTTGTCAGCTGTAGCTAGCAAAAACGGATTTCTTAAGGAGTAAGTGATAGTGGATGTGTAACAGAGACACACTATGCAAGTATATGGGTCCATGTGCATGGGTTGAGATAGAGAGAGAGAAGAGAAAATTTATGTGATTGGCCTAAATTATATTAATTTACTTAAAGTTGGTCACCTAGGCAATTTGCACAGCTGAAGAAGAGAGATGGGCACATTCAAAGAATGATTCATCCTACCACTTTGCATTGTCAATGGAGGGGATCCAGTTGCTGGTTTAGACTATCTGCCTAGCTTCTAACTGGTAAAAGTTTAACTGAAATGACTGCCACTTTCAGCATGAGCATTAAAGGTACCCATCCAAAATATTTCGTAAGACTATAGCTGATTTCCTATACCTAAGAATACTGGAAAATACAACATTACAGAAGACCATCTGCTATAATGATTTTTGCTTCATTTACCCAAGCTCTACATTCAATGATCCCTCCTCAGTCCATGGAGCCTTTACCACAACTGTTAGACAGTGCACCCAACGGGCCAAAGTAATGTCATTCATCAGTGCATCTGAAGGCTGACCAGAAGCATCCTTTGAAAAGAAACTTTCTGCATCACCTTTTCCCATACTGTAAACCTCACAGAGATGAATTAACTTATCTTGAGGCAAAGGTCCTGGAGCAGTACAACAGAGAGTAATTATTCTCCTTAGGTGTTTGCCCACTACTGTAAGAGTTCAGGCAACATGTGTGGAGATAGTCTGAACAAGGATTTATGAAACTTAGGCGTTAATAGTGCAACAAGCCAAAAAAAAAGAAAAAAACCCTAGCTCACAAATTTTTATGTTAGTATTTGTTTGAAGCTAGAATGGAACTCCAAAGATTCTTTAAGAAAGAAAATTCTGGTGAAAACTCACTGAATTTTTGGAACAACAGAAACATTTAAGTTTTGACTTCAGAAACATAACACATGGATTAGAACATTAGTATACATAATACAACAAGAAAAAAATTAAGGCAAACACAGATGTCAGAACTCAAAATTTGAAAAATGTCTGATAAGAACATATGAACAATGATGGAACTTCTTTTCTTCATGACAAAGCTTCCAAGAGAAATGTACAGAATCAGACCAAAGGCTGGGACTTCTGACTTTACTCAGCTTAAGGTTATCTGACTCCTGCCCCAGGTGTGCCAGCCATCAGATCCCATTGCATCCCATTTTATCTGTTGCTGCTGTAAAGTTTCACCACTCTACAACAACAGTGCTAAAGTCCCAAGAATAACAATACAGCAATATTAAAAGCAGGCAGCCTTCAGCTGGCTGAGGACAGAAAGCTGGTTCTAGATGAAGCTCCCTAGACACCAGTGCTTCAGCATGGGATCATCACTGGATACAAACAAAAAACAGCTGTGGGAGTAAGGCCCAGCATCCAATAGGATTTACCATCTGCAGAGTTCAGTAACCAGTACATTTCCTCTTGCTTGCTGTTCTTTTTTCCTCATACTTAACTGCATCTCTAGCAGAACAGTGGCTCAGTTCAATCAAAAACTGGAAAGTGGCCTCATTGCACCATGACTAGGGTTAGGGCACCCTTCTAGAACGTGGGACATGTAAGGACAATCTTCCAGACTGAGTGCCTCTTGTTTCCTGGGTGGGTACTCTAACCATGACTCCGTGTTGCAGAAGACACCTGACTGATGCAGCTGACTGCAGGTCTCCACATACATAACTTCTTTGGTTTTTCTGGGGAATGCAGATGAAATGCTGATATATATCAAATCTGAATTATAAAAGAGCTTTAGACAGTGGAAAGATACCCATCTACCTACAACATGACTTCTGAGAACACATGAATGACTTAAATGTAACTGGTAATTAAGATGACTGCCAACAGATAAAATTCAAGAAACCCCTCATGCCGAAAAGGAGATGGATATTCGGTCTCTAGTTGTGACGCTAACCACAAGCCACCAGGCAAAGACTTTAACTACAAATCAGCTATGAAAAAAGATAGTAGATAATCTATTTTATGTGCTTAACTCTTCATGTGTCAGGCATATTCTGAGTGTACCTATTGGATGAGGTATTAACTCACGTCTTAGCTTGTTTTCTACCTCAGGTCTGACTGGAGATCAGGTGAAAATTTAATACTTAGTTTCCCAGAACAGCTAATGTACCTTCAGGTACCGAAGTTTAGATTCATAGCCAACCTTACAATTCAGAAAGTAGAAGATTTCACAGACTGGGTCACCTTTGATAGCTTGTCTTCTCAATCTATCATTGTATGCAGCTGCTTAAAATAAACCAGAATCCTATCTCATATGCCAAAATAAGCAGCCTGGATGCAGCCCTAGTCCCAGAATGATTTTCAGCCAGAGCAAATTTTAGAAAGCCAGGACTGGCACTGAAAAATTATATTCTAGAAGGTCTTAAATAAAATGTTGAAAGCAGCTTGACCTCCAATGGCTGCACGTAATAAGTAGGTGTAAGTAGCTGAATAGTTTGTAGTGTCCACTAAAAACTGTGAAAATCAAAACAGAAGAGGGAAAGACAAATGGGGAAAAATGAGGAAGAATGGGCATGCCACTCCTAGCTCGCTCTCTCAGTTCTTTCAAAACAAGACTCAGAAGAGCTTTGATTGCATCTCTGGCTGTCTCATTCAACATGGGCTTATGAATCATAACAAAAGCTGAAAGGGGGTTGGCAGCAACATGTGAACCTGCCATACATTTTGTTCTTCTCTTCTTAATTAAGGACTATTTTGCGTAGCATATGCAAATGTCAGCACATTTGGGGGAATCAATATACACCTTTATCTTAGCCTTACAGATAGATATATTGTTGTCTGTCAGACAGGCTCCGTAAATCTAATGCCTCTATTAAAAAACACTTGCTAGACATAGTATGGAAGATTCTTGGGAAGTAAATATTTGAAGCCACGCTTAATTTGTCTGACTAAATGAGCTACTCATTACAGAACAGATGTAAAAAGCATGCCATTAGGTAAGAGAAATAATTGGAATATAAATCTACTTGGGTGTATAGGAAAGACTGAAATAATCTTGTACTTGAGATCTTGCATTAATCACTATTCTCCTGGTTATAATTTTCTTCTTTTAGTTTGGTCACAGCCAAATTTTCACTGTATTGAAAATGCCACGAGTATGGGTCTTTACATGCAATGCAAGAACTAGCTCTGTAGTTTGTTAAAAGTTTTTATAAGACAGTACTTGTGAAGAAATAATAAAATAATCTAGGTCTTGTGCAACTGTCCATTGCATGTGTTCTTATTTGACTTTTGCTCTTCAAAAATAAATAAAGATCAGAATCAAACCAGTTAGGATACATCTACTTCCTAGCCTATTGTTAGTGGAACTAAGAAGTAACTTTTTCCATATATTTAATCATAGAAACCATGTCACAAAGTGCCACTCCTACCTGTTTTTTTTTTTAACAGAAGTGTGAATCTTTTCAAAAACTTAGAAATTTTTTTCTTTAGGTGAATTCATTGCTAAAATACTTAAGAAGACTGAATAAATATTTTGAACTGAATTTAAAAAAAAAGCAAAACAAAACAGAAAAGCCCAAATCTGTTAGCCCAAACATATGGCTGACTATTTCTGTGTTGTACTTGAGAACTTTTCCAAAGAGGTATGATCAACCTTATGTACAAAAAGAAGGAAATATGCGTATGGATTAAAATTTGTACGTTGATAAGGAGGACCCCATACAAGAATGACGAAGTTGCTGTTGGAATTATGTCATCTTTATATTACTTCCCACAAAAAAAAAAAAAGAGTACTCTTCATAGAGGTAAATAAGCTGCTACATCTGAAACAAACTATTCCCCAAAAGACACAAATGGCGTAATGAGCCTTATGTGCCCCATAGCTTTATGAAGGTGAACAGAAAGGTCAATAGCAAGATAAACTTGGTAATTTTTTCAAGCATAACATTTAATCATCTTTCTTTGCCAGAGGTAATGCTTCTGTAACTCTGTTTTTGCTGGATACTGGTGGGGTCTGACATGAATCAGATAGGCTTTTTTTTTTTTTATTTCTCCTCCCTAGCTTTCCCAAACACTCTTCAGAAGACTTCAACTCTCTCTTCCATGCAACTTTTGCCAACACAACAATTTTGCTTATAAATTCTTATCTTCTCTTGTTCTGGGTTTTGCTTTCTTCCTATCTTCTTGTACCTTTTCCCTTCTTCCCTGTTTTCAGAAGCATTTTTTTCCCCAGAGTATAGGTAAATTTTAAAAAAACATTGCTTCAATACCAGCATGAAGACAGCATTTATATATAGAAATATATACACAAGACTTTTTAAAGACAAAATATCATGGACTGCATACCGACGGTAGATGAGAGAGATAAAATTTTCAAAAGAGTTTGCCTACTGAAAAGCTTTTTTGGTAACACTGTAATTTTTTTAACTTTTCATTCCATTATTTTTGTGATTAACATTTATCTCTGTCCCTTTCCCCTTTCTTTATTTGGCTTAATACACAAACATTAAAGAAAAAATAATGGCTTGGAGGAAAAGAACATCATCAGCACGTGAATATCAATGAATGGCTAAATTGTGGTATGAGGCAACATTGTTTTGTGTTACCAGTCACATTAGCATAAAATAAAACTTATAAAATGTCAGTATACAAGAATTTCCTTAAAACTCCAGTTAATAATTATGACAGGCTAGCTTATAGAATGGCAATGTATTTTCTTTTTTTAATAAAGCCTGTAAATCTGCACACAGCACATTAAAATCATAATTAAGATGTTATACTTTTAGTTGTAGTAAGCAAATCTGCATGCTATTCAGATTGTAACAAAAAAAAGCCTCAAAGAAAGATACAATACGCAGAATTTTCAAATGCAGTTACATCAGTGCATTATCATAGTTAATATGTGTTTCAATCTCTTTGAAACATACTCAGAGAATGTTTTAGGTCATATTTTATAAATGTCCAATACACAAACATCTAAAATATCATCTTCCTCATTCCTTTTTATGTATTTTTATGAGAAAAGTCTGAAAACCTATATACTGTATACAAATCCTGCTCTCACGGGAGCCAGTGATGAACCACCCATAGGTTTCAGTAAGAGCAAGAGCAGACTCAAGGAAGTATAGGTTTCGTGCCATCCCAGTGCAATACCTACCATCCATGTTATTGTCAACTCTCGATTGCTTCCACCCCCTCCTCCGACATCAGAAGGAGCCACATTAGGAGCTAGAAAAATAGAAGAGACAAGAAAAATGACTACAAAGTATGCAGTCAGTAAAAATATCACTATTTACTTTTCTTTCTACCAGCAGGGCCAATGAGCACACGTGGCACACACAATTAAAATAATGACAGTCTGTAATAGCTGTGAGAGTCTGTGGTCTTGCCAAGACTAATGTATAGCTACTGCTGCAGGAAACATGCCAGTTCTAACCATAGCTAGCAATCAATCATTCTTCTTTTTAACCATATTCTCTACAAATAATTAATTGAATATTCAGAAACAGAACACTCCTCATAGGTCTTAAGAGAAGCACTCTGTATTGTTCTTGTACTTCCTCAGACGCTGATATGCCAAGTGCTCAAGCATCCAGGACTTGCACATGTATTTACCTTCACAGACTGTGATTAGTTCCATCTACTTCAACGGATTTACTCACAATGTATAACGTTAAACCCATGGATATATCTTTGAAGCACTGCCATCCTAATCCTATTCTGGATTAGCAGCATGTGTCTTCTTGATTGGCATGTTCAGAATGGGTAGCTGTTCAGAAGCGAAGCTGGCATAGCACTTAGTAATTTACTAATTGCATTTTATACTGACAGTCTGTGTAATGAAATAAAATCTGTTGATCTATTATTAGTGTACAGCTGAGTGGTAAAGCAGGATACTCTCAAGGACTCCATTACAAATCATTCTTGTATTCTCATTTCTATAAGATTCTTTGCACTAAGAGTGTGATCATTCTATTGCTACCCTCTATGGTGTTTGTGTATTTACTTGCTGTCACTCAATAGTGAGGACACACAAAGTACCACTGAAATCTTAGGAAATGATGGCCTACCTATAGTACATTAAATATACCACAGGTGATCATGCATTAGCTACATGCCCTATCTACAAGAAATGTTCTTTGTGTTAAAAATTCTTATATGATCAGGCATTTTCTCCACTAATTAGTGAATGTCACAAGATAGTAAGGGGATAATTCTTAAGTGCTCTCCCACTACTTAAGATGTTTGCTGAGGCCCTCTCTGAGGGTCAGCTGAGGAGAAACGCAAGGCAGAGAAGAATTAATGTTTTCAGAAAGGATAAAAATATGTAACAATAAATTTGAAACTGAAATCATCATTCAGTGCATGGTTTGCGTTATTTATTTCTGGCCTTCCAGAAAACAAATTAGTGGAGAACAAGACTAAACATACATATCATGACAATTCAAGAGGCAGCTTGAACTTATTACTCAACCTTGTTATTACTGAAATACCCAGTAGTCTCACTACCCATTATAAGCATATAACTTCAGTGCTAAGTTAGAAGCAGAAGTTTACTAGAACGCTTAAGTACTCAAAGAAGATACACAGGCTGCCAGCGAAGAGAAAAAAGACTGTCTAATGTCTTACAAATCACCCTTTTCATGAGAATCTCCCTCATTCTCTCAACCATTAAACCCAGGTTTCTCTCTCCATTAAGAACAGGTTACTAATTCAGACAGCTATACTTAAGACAGTTACCCTAATGCACCCAGAAGCCAACACACATAAAAGCAGACTTTGATCCATTGAATTTCAAGATGATTCTATGATTCTAAGAAATCACTATGAAATGTGTTATAGATGAAGCAAGCAGATTTCATTAAAAAGAAAAATCATAGCACACATTCTTAGCATGCTAACAAAAATGTTACTGAAATCACAGTTATCTACAAGAAGAGAGACTTCAAAACTGAAAAAGATGCTGATAACATTTAACAGACATTATTTGTCACTCATACAGTACAACAAAGACACAGCACTGTTTGTTGCTGTTTAACACAGAACAAATGTTAAAAATAACTACAATGTGTGGATATAGGTTGTTGTTTGCGCAGTAAAATATTTACCTTCTTCGGGTTTACATGAAAATGCACACGCAGTACTGGTTCTGTAGTACCCTGGAAGTTGACAGTGCAACCCAAATCCTATTGTTGCTGCTCATAACAAATTCCAGCTCCTGGCAGAAAATGCACTTGGGCACAGAGGTTCATCTGCAAACTGTTTCTGATTTATACTCTATTTTGGCGTGGTGCTGACTGATGCCTAGGAAGACTACATTAGCATTTTGCTTTGTTTCACCAAAAATGTCTCACAGTCTGCCAGAGATGGCAACGGTGCTGTGCATGGGGAATCAGACAACAGACTAAACAGACTACCTCTTGCAAAAGCATTGCATCCTGCTACAATACTGGAGGATATGCCATTTTTTGGGAGATTACAACAAATACCATGAACGTGGCACACTGCAAACTGCAGGACACTACCACTAACCCACCTGTGAGCATTATTTCCTCTCCCTTTCTGTCTCTTTTCTGACATTTCAAAAATGTCTATTGCGCACCAGGCACTCCAAGAAATATGTGTAGATTTCTCATTTAGATTTCTGGGCCTACAAATACAGCTGTTGAGTCATAAAACATATGGTGCTTATAGTCAATTTTATAGGCAGTAATTTCCTTTCACTTTAGTGTAAAAATTCTGTGGCTTTTCCTTCCCTGTCCAGATTAATTTAACCAATCTGTACTTCCTTTCTCCCTAAGCAAGAAAATTTTTAAGGGACCAAATGTGGGTCTTTTTAAATAAACGTTTCGAAATTTGCAATGCAAATACATTTTATTTTGAAAATACCATCTAATCAAAGCAATAATCTAGCAGGTGTAATTGCAAAAATTAATTTTTACACTTTGGTTTTGCATTTTTAGTTTCAGATCTCAAGCTATGGGACAACAATTGTAAATATATCTAGGTTGCACATGGGTGCTAATATATATTAAGGAAGATAGACTGGTATACAGGCTTTGCTGGATACAGTCTTTCTGCAGTGATACATTACCTCCTAGAGCACTGCTGTTATCTCCTTTGTACAGTCAAAACAGAATGTATTATCTTGAATAATAACATTTAATTCCTCATTTTGGAGAATTAATTTTAAAAAGGACGTGCCTGAGCCGAAAGAATATCCTTAAATACGCTCTGAGATTTTAACACTGAGCAATTAGACTGATAAGGGCATATGTTGTGTCGGATAATGTCACATCTTTGACGTGGAATAAGACGACACAAGACCAAACCTTCAACCACAGAAAATGGCATTATCCAGTGTAACACACACCCTGTCATGTATTCTTTAGTTAGAATACAAACCAAACAACAAATGGACATTTTCCTTGTTAAACACATGCATGTTTTTTCCTAAGTCCTGTACCCTGGTCCCGAGCATGTGCATGCATTCATACACACACAACCTGACTGATAGATACAGTGGGGGATCTCTGAAAATTGCAGTATGATTCTGTTTCAGCAATGGAGGCAAATTTGCCGTTTGTATCACGATGTTTCTTTCCTGTCTGCTTTGATGCTGTCACATCTGGACAGTCTGGTTTTTGCTTACTCAAGTCTATAGTAGTGGGTGGCTGAAATTATATTCTCTAGACTCGCATCTTATAAACTGCTTTTTTCAAATAAAAAACAAAATTACAAAACTGATTAATAAAAATGTCAAAATTAAGAAGCACATTAAAAAACTTGACATTTTCTGTTTACGTACGAGCGCCTTCAGTTCTAATTCTCTGTGATGGCATACTAGGCTCTCCTGTCCCCAAAGTGTTTGTTGCTATTATCCGGAACTCATATTCCATCCACGGAATTAAATCAATCACTGTAGCAGATTCCATATTTCCTTCAATATCTGATGGTTCTAAAAAAAATAAGAAATTGCTTTAGAAAACAGCATTTTTACAATAAGGTCAGCCAACACTGTGGTTGATTTGGCAAAACTACCACTATTCTGCAAACACACATAGCCAACTGAAGGAAACCTGATGTTGTACATTGGGAATACCACATTTTACAAGGAATACTCACGGCAGTGACTGGGAATTTGGAAACCATGACACTATCTTGGATAAACCCTTATAGACTTGTAAGTTTTAACTGGGTGTGAACTAGCAGAAGAAGTACATGTAGTTATGAGGTATCCTTACTAACTACATATTGTAGTTGTAGAATTTCATTTTACCTACAGAAAAATGCAATGAGAAATCTGGAATGCAGAAACAATAAAATAGAAATTCATGATATAGACAAGGGCTAGATGTGCAAATGTAGGGTTCGATCAATTGATAAAGAGTGGTTTATAAAATGTGGTCATATTTTGGTGCACCTTATTAGTAAGCATGTTAGAACTTGCTGTCCAGTTCTGATCTAACAAAAGTAAGTGTACTTGTAATTCCTGCAAAAAGACTTATTACTGTCAGAAGGATGAGCTGCTTTACCGTAAATAAAATGTGTAACTCATCACTCCCTGTCTACAATTCACAGACAATAGGGGTTGTTTCTGTAGCTGTCTGCAGTTATACAAAGACAGAGGATTTTCATTCATTGTGTGGGCCAAGAGTTGTTTGTCAAACTAGAGTCTTGGGTTCAGGGGAGATGACAAATGAGATATTCTGCACTGGGAAAGCAGCTTGGAATTAAAATATGAATGCAATGGCTGCAAAAAAATCAGGCATGGCAGTGTAAGAACTGGATGGTGACACAACTTTCCTCTACCTAATGATCATTAAATTTTTCATTCCAAAGTGAAGCCCTGAAGGAGAAAAAATACACTTTCCGTTTTCTTTCCACCTGCCCACCACCCTCCCTCATCCTTACTCAAATTATCCTTCTGTCCAGTCAAGAGAGCCATTGCAAACCTCCTATGGCATCCAAGCCATGATATAAATTTGGCATTCCTTTTCTTGTGCTACTTTCAATCTCTTCATTTAACCTTACTGTGCCACAAGTTCCCAGAATAATTATGAGAATCCGATCCCCTTAACTGGAAAGAGCAACATAAATGTAAACAACTTATTACATAACCTATTCATACATATTTCCATACTGTGAAGTAGAATACACTTCTTTCATAAAACACACTCAATATTATGCAACCTGAGATGAATGATTTGGTTTGGGAATAATGGTGGTAGCAATAACAACAACAATATTTCCAAAGTGCAATGCCAAAGTATATTTTTTTGTTCCACACATTGAAAATTAGCATCATTAAATGATAGCCTGAACACTGATGAGAGATCAGTTTGGACTGTTCATCATACTTCTTTCACATGAAAGTGAACACTGAGCCAAAGTGGGAGGAGCCCAGAAATTAAGTAAAAGCTTGCAGTGGTGCCAGTGGTGGTTATGATGGTGATTTTACCTATTTTTTGAGGGAATCATCTATTAATCAAAATTACGCAGCATGGTTCAAATGAAAAAGCAATGATTCTGAGAACACCAGAACAGTTCATTTCAACTTTTCAGAAATGAATAATTTATATCTTGCCTGCTAGCTTCATAAAAAAGGAATTCAACAATCTAGATTCCTCCCTGTCCCACTCAAGATGTGTATCCCACTCAACATGCTACAGGATAAGACTCAAAGTCTGACTGCATGTCTCAATGCCTATCTCATTAATTCTGTGAAGCAGAACTACAGAGATGCAGAGAAGTGCATCCCATCATGCCTGTAACACTGCAAATAGGGAATCTTCCTGAGAATTGCGAGAGATGGGTTCAAAGTGTCTGCTCTGAATCCAACACTTGTATCTCCTACATGTTTCTAGTTCCAGCAACATGCAGCACAAAAGGAAGCAGTATCAGAGCTGCCACCCCCTATTTAGAAATTCTTCCTATACCGTCCTATAACCACATTTCTTCCCAATTCCTTTTTGTTTTTAATTAAAAAGAAAAAAAAACGAATAGGAAATAAAATATAATTTATCCTGAAAAAAGCGGAGGCTGGTCTAAGAGGATCCTCCCTCCTGCGTATATTGTTACTGAGGCAAAGCATCAGTTATTTGAACAGGTCTAATTTCTACATTAATTATTTTTTAAGTTCAAAGAAATCTGTTCTACAGAAACTATTAAACAAGATATAAGACTTAGGAAGGGACTGGGGAACCTTCTAGTTTTAATTTCCAAGTTACTTTAACGCAAGTCATATACTAGTTCTGGCTGTTGGAGGTAATTATATACAATAGAGCTACGTATACTACATGTTCTAGAAGAGAAATATGATTTAAGGCAGTAGGCCTAGTATTTTTAACTTTTTACTCTAAAAATGTAACAGATTTTCAGGTCAATATGTCAAAGTCTATTTCTTAGACATCTATCTCTGAGGTTTCAAAGGACAACTTAAATGAAAGACAAGAGCTGAAATTATTAATATTCTTAGTATTTAGAAATGCTGAGTATGTGATACCCTAATTCCACAGAAAAGCACTTAAATGATAATTTAGTATGGTGGCATAATGAATCACATTGATAGGACAATTCTGTATACCTTGTAGCAATGCTATCTTTCATAAAGCATTCAAAGATACTAGTAGTTTAAAAATACTTTCATAATTGATGCATTTATGTTAAATCTTGCAAAGAAAAATATATTAGCATGCCCTGTGTTCAGGTAGGTGCCTCCTCAACTGCAATTAAGTGGCACAATGATGACATCCAGTGGTTACAAGGATAATCTTAGCTATGTTTTCTCTAGGGGTTCCAGTTTTAACGCAACTGGAACTTAGTCTGCTCCTAGCAAAAAGCAGAAAATTTTAAACAACTTCCTCCATAACAAATACAGAAATGAAGACACCCGTTTGTCATCGAAATTAACCTGTAAATAAATTTTGACGATTCTAGTAGTTGATGTGGAATCTTTCAAGCAACAAGGAAAGAGACAAAAACCAGGTAAAAATTCTGGCCTGTTCTTTTCTGTATTTCTTGATGCCTAGTTCAGGCCCTCCAAGTGCTGCGAACAAACCTGCTGACCACACACTGACAGGACAGTACCTGCTCCCAAACCCTGTAGCAGACATTAATAGCATCCCTGGTTTCCTTTTATTGTGACTGTTTTCTGATTAGCCAAGCTTTCTAACAATCAAACACTTTAAAACCTATCGACCTTATTACTTCTGGCATTACTCTTACCTGTTTTGGCATCTTTCCACTCTTCAGATAGAAAGGTTTTTGACTGGATAGTGTATTTAGAAATAGGGCTATGATTGTCTGTTCCACGACTCCAGGTAAGTGCTACAGCAGTGTCTTTAATTTCTTCTACTCTTATACCTCCGGGAGGGCCTGGAGGACCTGAGGAAAAAAAAAAAAAAAAACTTGCTAATTCAATTAACAAATTAAATATTCTAAAAATGAAAGTTCACTGACTTTCCTACTTGTATTTATCAGATACAAGGCTTTTGAGTCTCACTTTCTACTTAAGAACAGACTGAAAATGTATATATACATTTTAATACTCTGCAGAGTGATTCAGAGGATAAATGCTCTTGCATCTAACAACTACCAAATGAAACTTTCATGACTCCTGTCTAAGTAGTAATATTAAGATTTTCTTAAGTAAAAAAATGATACTTTGAAACTGTTGCTACTCTTTTTTCAAACAACAGTGAACTCAGAAAAAATATACAATATCTTCCTTCCTAAATTCCACCTAATGATGATCTTATTGGTGGCCCACCCTTAAGCTACATTTCTGCTTGCGCCATATTGGCCTTGACTACAATTTAGATGGAAAATCTTGTAACTGATATTGGAGAAAAATCATACCTTGAAAGACATTTCTATAGACCTCTTCACATTTCTCTTGGCCTTCATATTAACCCAATGTGGAAGCCCACTGTCAAACTTCCTACAGACTACCATAACGTAGAAAGCAGAACTAGGCAACGTTTCTTTACAGTTCTACAAAAGCCTTCCCACAACAAGAATTTAAAAAATTCATGCCAAAATGTGGAATCCACTATACCCACTGAACTAAAAGCAGTCTTGCAAACTACATAGGTGAAATCAAACAACCTCTGTGCACCAGAATAACCCTACAAAGATCACCAACAAGGAACAGAAGCACTAAGCTGTCAAAGGGAAAACATTTTTCACAAAACAGCCATTCCACATCTGCTCTTTCAGTCTCGATCATCAAGAAGGACTGATAAAATAATTTCTAAGGAGTATTTTCTTTTTCTTCAAAAGGCAGATACTTGCAAAGATTAATTTCAAAATTCATAGCTCTAGTGAATATAAAAAGTCATGAACTAAATACAGATGTTGGCTTGATGGCACATTACTATGTTCCCAACATCCAGCTAAATCGCTACATGTAGAAGTTGCTTGTCCTAAACTAGTTCATAATCTCATCTCTATGCTTTTCAAGTATTAAATACTATTTCTACTCAAACCAACTACTTAAAAGAGCTATAACTGAGAAACAAAATAGCTATAACAGCAATTATTCTCAATCCATGCATGGCTTTAAGTTTGTTAGTTGTACTTCAGATCTGAAGAGATAGGCCTGTTCCCCAAACCTGCCTGTTCTTTCCAGGTGTATCACTAAACCTAATAAACAGTATTACACCTCTTCACCAAACCTCATCTGGTTTATTTCTGAACACTATGAACAGACAAAAACTGCTGGAGTGAATACTTGCATTTTTCTAAATGCATTTTTAAATATAAAAAATTTTCTTCTAATTACTACTACTCCCACACCTCTACTTTGTGTGAGCAACTTTTTTATTGTTGCTGAGCTGTGCCTTGTTCCCCACAAGAGAGGCTGAAATGTGCAGATCAACAGGCACAGGTGATTTTTTCATAGACTAGAAAACTAAGAGTGTGATGCAGGCACACACATATGTGAGTGTAGGAATCTTCATCTGTAAAAGACACCACAATGTTCTGTAAGCTGTGCTAAAACCTCTCAAACTTACAGTAACTCTGTAACCCAAAGCTTAGTACTTACTTACAAACTTGGCCTATAGATATTTTCATTCTTTTCATATTCACTGTTCCAGTTTTGTTATTATGCTTCTGTTTTATATAATACATAGTTATGTGATATGTATTAACTACTGTGTAAAAACAGAGACAACGCATTAGAACTATTGAGAAGTATTTTCTGATTCCATTTGCAGAGATAATAATATGCCAACATGATTCAGGTAATTATCCAACAATCTGATTGAACAAGTCCCAGAGCATATTAAAAACACCAACAAGAAATAACAGGTTATATTTCTCTGCAGTATTTACGGAGAAACCAAAACAAAAACAACTCAACAAACAGAATGCAACAACATTTCTACATCAGATCTAAACACAAAGTCTGACAAATGTATTTTCAGCTCTTGAGCTCTTTATCTTCTCCATAAATATGAGCAAAAGGAACCAAATGAAATTAACTGAATGAAACAAATATGCTACCATATATTGTTGTTCCTCTGCTTCAATGAATTTTTCCTTCTAACAAGCAAGCAATTCCATTCCCAACTCCATAAGTATTCAAATTTAGAATGGTTCCTCAAAGAATATATATGCCACTGCTTAAAAAGAAGTAAGCGTGATGACTCTACACAATCTACTGGGCTATGGCCTATGACTTTGACAATCAAATTCCTGATTGTTTCTTCTCCTAAGAACCAAGAATAGTTCCCATTTAGTATCCTTGGAAAAATGTACATCAGTTGACTACTGGATTGCTCATAACCAACTTCTATTAAAATTCAAATCTTGGCATTGAAAACTAGTCTACTAATTAGATGTCCTTGGACCTCCCTTTCAAGGTAATGACTAAATACATCACTGCATGTGAAAACAGCCTCTTACTCTTCACAGAGGATGCAAAAAGTAGAAGCTGTTGCTAAGAGCTGATTTTTAAGATGAGGGTTGCTAGTCAACTTTCCACCCTGGTAACGTGCATATTTGCTAGCCCAGCTCTAAGACTCAGGTAGCTAAGGCCAGAGAGACCCATTCTCCTGCAAGACTGTTCACTTCAGAAGCCCTCAAGCTGGAAGGTCTGGAAAGGTTCATCAGTCCCAAGATCTTTCTTTCCTTCATTCTTTAGGAGATACCTTTTACTGCTTCTCACCTCACTATCAAAATCTCTGAAAATGGTATGTGTCAGGCAACAAACACCAAGGGCCAGCTGCTCCCTCAGGAAAGCTGAGCCAGGATCCACAAGTAACCCCAGGGTTGGCAGTGCCTTCAACAATGGGGCACAGTTCCGCAGGGTCTGAATATAGTGGGCAGAGCCTGGTGCTGATATGACAGTCCTAGATACTGCAAGTAATGAATCAGGTGCATCCAGATCACATTTGCTTTGACGTTTCATCCAAAACTGGTAACATTTCACTGGCTGTTAATACCCATCAAAAATTAAATACAGAAAGATTCAAGTCCACAACATCCTCAGATGACAGAAATTCAGAATCAAGGCACAAGCTGTACTTCAGCTGCTATAGAGCTCTATAGTTTAACCGGAATGTGGGGCAAAACATGACAGCAACGCGGCTCCAAGTACAAGTTATATCTGCTTTGAATTGTCAGCATGACAGAGCGTTAGCACTTCAGAATGTGTTACAACTGGCGGCACAAAACAGAGTAAAATGCCTAAAGGAGGTGAATTAACTCACGTTATTGAAACCATGCACTGTAACAGATCTTGTAGGATATACACCATATGAACAAGCACAGTGTTTTGTGCCCACAGTAACACTTAATAGACATGAATCAGTTAACAATGGAGTGACAACCTGAACTACAAATGTCCTGGTTTCTATAACTTGAAAACTATAAATCCTTTTAGTGTAGGTCTAGTAGTATACACAATAATTTAATCCATAAAGCTTTATGAGAAAACAGAATTGGATTCTTAAAACTGTTATACAGTGGATACATTGAAATGATACCTAAAATCTATTTTTAATAATGAACACAGAATTAAACTATCTAAGAATTACTTCAACATAATGAAAATACCCATAATAAAAAAATCTTTATTGCTTTTCAGGAAAACACATGCTCAGTTAGACATCTAAATATCTGGAATAGAATCAGTACCCTGAGTAAACTTTAAGGACTTTACATACTCATGCACTCCTCATTTTAATTTCTGTCATTTCTTGGTGAGAAACTGTGGTGATGCATTCCCCCCCCCTCCTTTTCCCTTTCCCTTCAATCGCTTTGCGACCTCAGGAATTCCAGACTGCGGCCTTTGTGTAGTGAGTTAGTCAGTTAAGCGCCCTTTAATTGTACCAGAAACTCCTACATGGCTGAAGCAGAGAGCAGTCCTGTCCTTATCAAAATCTCCATATTATGGCTAACGAGGGGAGCGAGAACAAACAGCTGCCCCTGACAGCCTTGAAACAGAGCGGTATCATCGTTACTGGAATTCCAGCAACTACCGACCCGAATTGTGGCTCAGAAGGAAATTTACTGGTGACTAAAGCCAATCATCTCACAATCCTATAAAAAGCAGTCCTAAGTGAGGCCCTTTGAGTTCTCCTGGACTGCCGCGGGCTGCACCAGCATCTCCCTCTGAGTAGGATGTCTCTCAGAGCTAGCAAAGCTAGCAAACTCTCAAAGTTGCTACAATCAGAGGTCCATTGCCAAAGACTGACAGTAGAGCCTGGGCTGAAACCCTTCACTCCTCGAGGCTCAACCCTCGCCCGTTGAGAAATGCCAAGACGTTAGACGTGAGTCTTTCACTGAACTCAAGGGGAATTTTTAACAGGTATACCATTTTTATATATGTATTCATGTTTGTGTGTATGCATGCATGAATCAGTATAAGTAGTCTGTAGATGTACAATTTAATTTCAAAGTGAGTCTTATATTGCTGCAATATCCTTATTCCTATAAACCATTGACCAAGTCTGAGACTAAGATTGGACCTAGCCACACCTAGACTCCTCTCTGAGAAGTTTAGAAAGCAAGGGGGTCTATTCTGAACCTCATGACTCAACGGGAGGGTCCTCCTTATCCCCTGCATACATAATCTCTTTGTGAATCATTCCAACTCAGCGTAACTTAATTTTCCTTTATGCACTTCCATGTACTATTAGAGTGAACTTTGCCATCTTCGAATCTGTAACTGTCACTGTTTTGATCAATTTTGTCTAATCACTTTGTTAATCACTGATGACTGAGTGCTATTAAAATATTACAACCAAATCCTTCGATTTGCTACAAGTAAATTCTAAACTGCTCCTAAATCAAACTGTGTAAAGCCACTCATTCACAATAAATTAACATAATCAGCAGGATTCACAAACCTGCATTCGTGACAGAAACAAAACACTCTAAACAACCAGAAACACTCTGCTTATCTAGGTGGAAACCAGTAACATTTCGGTTTTACCTGGTGAACCTTACCTCTTACCACAAGGTCAGCCGAAGCCGAGGAGTTGTCAACAATCGTCTGAGCGGTGCATGTGTACCTCCCAGCGTGCCGCAGCTGAACATTTTTAATGAGCAGCTCACCGTTGGATTTAATCTGTCACAAAAATAGCACTTAGTAAAGCTGGTAAACATCCCTGTACAGCTATGTGATACCTGTCTACACATCCCTCCCAACTGATATACAGCAGTTGCTATTTCCAAAAAGCAAGTGCTTACTTTGAACATGGATCACTCTCAGAGATACATCTGATTTATATGACAGCTGTTGAAAGCGTCCTGTGATTCCTGAGGAGCTGCTGCTCTTTACCAGACATGAAGAAAACAGATGTCTTAGTAAATGGTTTTTTACAAGCCAACATCTCCCTTTTACTTTTTGAAGCCCATACCTGAACATTAAATTTAGTCAAGAGTTTTTTCATAAACAGCAGTCAGATGATTTTTTTGCACCATGACTTGCTTTTTTATGCACGTTTGTATGATAACATGCCATGGAGTCCTACTAACAGAGCAGGATACTGTTTGGCTCTTCCTTTACAAGCCTAAAGCAGTATGAACATTTTCATTGCAGAGAGGCTACAATCACAGCCTATATAAAGATGCACCAAAGAGATGCTAAAATGCAGCGACTGTGAAGAAACAACAATGTTCAAGACTTGCCACAGGTCCTTAGAGGAAAGGACAGCCCCGTTCCGCGCAGCGGTGTTGGCCATGGACAGGACGATGGCAGTAGCCACGCCCCTCGTGGCAGGAGGCTGGGCTGCCGGGGCTCGGGGCCAGCTCCCAGACAGCACGGCCCAGGGCAGCCCCTTCCTTCGGCGACCCGGGACGGCGCGCACCCAGACAGCACTGCAGTGGGGCCTCG